GGCCTGTATTCTCTAAAATTTTAAGTAATCATTGATATGTGCAAAACACCCCAAGGAATAGATAGGGATTTTATTCTATACTGTATCTACTCTACAGTGTGGAAACAAGCCATTCGGCCCAACAAGTCTGCACTAAACCAGGCCAATCCCCCTACCCTATCCCTGTAACCCTGCATTTCTCACGGCTAACACATCCCTGAACAATACGGGCAATTTAGCTTGGCCAAACCACCTAACCTGCATATCTTTGGACTTGGGAGGAAACCAAAGCACCCAGCAAAAACCCATACAGACATGGGGAAAAACGTGCAAACTCCACACAGACAGTTGCCCCAGGGTGGAATCGAACCCAGGTCCCTAAGCTCTGTGAGGCAGCAGTGCTAACCACTGAGCCACCATACCAGTAAGATGTTCTGTGGTTGGAAGACTGAACTGGGGATGTAACTATTGTAAGATAAGTAATTTATTTTGTTTTTAATTTGTTTGAACTACAAATTTGAAATTGCACAAAACTACAATTGATATGTTTTGAAACCATTTGTATGATGTATATTCATCTTAAAGAAGAATTTGATGATTGAACCTGGCTGATAAATCAGGTTTAGAATCGAGAGCTGTAGAGCACAGAAACAGACCCTAAGTCCAACTCATCCATGCTGACCAGATATCCTAAATAAATCTAGTCCTGTTTGGACCCTATCCTTCTAAACCCTTCCTATTCATATAGCCATCCAGATGCCTTTTAAATATTGTAATTGTACCAGCTTTCACCACTTCCTCTGGCAGCTCATTCCATACATGCATGAAAATATTGCCCCTTAGATCCCTTTTAAATCTTACCTCCTCATCCTAATCCTGTGCCGTCTAGTTTTGGACTCTGCTACCCTACGCATAAGACCTTGACTATTCACCCTCTCTACGTCCCTCATGATTTTATAAACTTCTTTAAGGTCACTCCTCAGCCTCCAATGCTCCAGGGAAAACAGCCCCAGCCTATTCAACCTCTCCCTATGGCTCAAACACTCCAACCCTGGCAACATCCTTGTAAAACCCTTTCAAATTTCACAACATCTTTCCTATAGCAGGGAGACCAGAATTGAAGATAGAGGTAACAAGGTGTACAGCTGGATGAACACAGCAGGCCAAGCAGCATCGAAGGAGCAGGAAGGCTGACGTTTCGGGCCTAGACCCTTCTTCAGATTTCTTGTTATCTCAGATTCTCCAGCATCTGCAGTTCCTACTATCTCTGAGACCAGAATTGAATGCAGTGTTCCAAAAGTGGCCTAACCAATATTCAGTACAGCCACATCATGGCCTCCCTATACTCAATGCAATGACCAATAAAGGCAAGCATACCAAATGTCTTCTTCACTATCCTGTCTACTTGGTTTGTTTATTCTTACAACTCCTTACAACAATTTTCCTTACTAATGTGTACATTCTTCAAATTTGAAAGTCTCTTGGTTTTTGCTTCGTTGCTGTTTTATTTGGCTTAATAATGCAAATGAAAGATGTGTGACAAGCTGAAAAATGTGTGTAGACTCAATACTACTTTTTTTTTGCTAAACCATGCAGCTTTTGGAAGCAAGGATAGGACTGCGCTGACTCTCCTTATTCTTAAGCTCCATCTTGTAATGCAGTGAGTGGTTAGGATCTAGAATGCAGTGCTTGACAGTGTGATGGCAGCAGGTTTAATCAAGATATCCAAGAGAGAAATGGATTGTCATTTGAAACAGAAGATTGTACAGTACTACAGGGAGAAAGCAAGGGAATAGTGCGATATCTTCGTAGGGCAGATTAAAGAGTACGTAGTATATGGAGAATCAACACTGAATTAAAATTTTATTGAGTTTGGTATATACATATAAATAACATATATATGCAAACAGTCTCAATTACTACACTCCTCCCTTTTTAATGAATATGCTGCCCAATGTTCAAAATCCCATACAATTTACATACACCTCTTGTTTTCCATTTGTCTACAAATCTAACTGAATCAGTGGTTCTCTATTCCTGGAAGCATATCTCAAACATGCAGCATTTGGGAAAAGACTTTGGGTTTTCTGGACTTGAGATTGAGGAAAAGTTTCTCTAACAAGGACTGATTTTTCCTTTCATCAATCTGTCTGATTCTGACTTGGACTTGAACTGGTTTCAGGCACAACTTGTTTTAGATTATCTACTTGAATCTCAGTTATCCAATTAGAGTCATAGCCATTTGAGCTACAGAACACAGGAACAGCATCTTCAGTCCAACTCGTCCTCGTCAACTAGATATCCTAAATAAATCTAGTCCCATTTGCCAGCATTTGGCCCATATCCCTCCAAACCCTTCCTATTCATATACCCATCCAGATGCCATTTAAATGTTGTAATTATACCAGCCTCCACCACGTCCCCTGGCAGCTCATTCCATTGACGCACCACTCTCTGTGTGAAAATGTTGCCCCTTAGGTCCCTTTTAAATCTTTCCCCTCTCACCTTAAATTCATCAGACTCATTTCATTTTTCCCAACTCGCTGCTTCGTTATGAACCTCTGACAGTAAAACATGACTCACATGTAAACACTAACATTTTCACTACCAAACATTCTGAATAAGTACATGTGAACATCAAATCTTTCTTACAACTCCCTTACATCTTTCTCTTACAGGTTACTGGTGGACACATCAACAACTTGTAATGACTGGATACCTCTTTCTGGAGGCAATACAGACAAGATGGGCCAAAGGGCCATCTTTCTCCACTGTAAAATTCGATGATACAATGTTCCTTCACTTTAACTTTGTGGCTCAACTTTAAACTTCTGTACTTCCCGGAGGACAAGAAGAAAGGGATTTTATTTTATAAAACTATATTATCTTGAGCAATTCACTTACTTAAATGTTGGATTTTGAACTGATTATCAAATACAGAATGGGATAATAGCTACTTCTAGAAATTTCCATCAATTTTCTCTTAATCTTTACCCATCATGCCTTTCTTTCTGTGATTGTTTCTCTTCTATTGGCTGCGATAAACATGACTTCAGCAATTAAAACCTAATTCTAGGCTGTCTTCCAAGAAACAATTCAGCTGATTTTCTATTGATGATAATATTAGGGTTATTGTGATAAATAACAGATAACCACTAGTTTCTGATGCAATGTCATCTGATGTTTCTCTGAGTTTATGTTTATGATTTGTTTAACACGAGCAGACTAGAGATTTTGTACAATACACTCTACTGCTCCATTCGAAGCAGATGACAAGGTGAAACTCTAGTTTGTTTTAAGCCATTTATTACGTGAAATTTGAAAACTCTTCTGGAAAAAAAGAGCTCTATAGTCAGATATAATTTCCTCTGAGAACCTACAAGCAGCAATCAACTTAAGCAAAAATCTCTACAATGATTAAGTGAATGGATGATTAGATTGTCACATATGTCTGGGAAAATACAGTGAAAAGTGTTTTGTCGCCACAATCCGGTGCCATTTTGAGTTATAAAATGAATAATAAGAAATTACTTCTATCGAGTTTATCTTCTGTTCAAATTGGGGTCTCAAGCCCCGCTCCGGGGCTTCTGCAAGGTCTCTGGAAGGTGTTCCAGTCCTCAAGCAGTCCCACCTCTAGATACTGCAGCGACAACACTGCTACCCCAGGAGACTCCAGCTCTGCTGCAGCTGTCACTGCTGACAATGCCAAGAGTCCAGGCTCCGGGCCTACTGCAGCCAGGAGTCCCTGCTCTGGGCAATGCCATCACCATCGGGATTCTGATCTACGTGGCCAATGCTGCAGCTGCCACCCCACCAACATTGCTCTGGCCTCGAAGGCGAAGAGAAAGAAAAATAGAAAAAGAAGAAAAGACGAAAAGGAGAGAGAAAAGTACGCTGCCGGCCTGGAGCAGGAACCCAAAAGCCACTATACTATTGCCATCTTGAAAATTGTTCTTGAAAACAATTGTACAATTTGTTGTTTGATTCATCAGAAACACCTGAATCCGCTTCAAGTGGCCGACCACCACTATGAAGAGATGTTGCTCTTCAAATCCTTCAGAATCAATGTAGAAAATCTGCCACACTCTAGTTGGCCATTGTCATGCTTGCAAAGATGTCCCAGTCAGCTATTTTTCTGTAGCTTGACACAATACAAAGAACAAAGCATATAGTACAGCAGAGGTGCAGGTCCTTTGGCCCACTAAGACTGTGCAAACAAATGATGCCTTTCTAAACCAAAAACCTTTTGCTTTTATGTTGTCTGTATCCCTTTGTTCCCTGCCTATTCGTCTCTCTGTCAAGATGCCTCTTAAACATTTCTATTGCGTCTGTCTCCATCACTTCCTCTGGCACTGCATTCCAGGCACTTATCAGCCTCTGTGTAAAAATCTTTCACATCTCCTCTAAACCTTCCCCCTTTTACTTTCCCATTTCCCCTGGTAATTGATATTTCCATCGTGGGATAAAGACTCCAAATATCCATTCGATCCATCCCTCTCATAACTTTGTAAACTTCTATCAGGTCGCCCCTCGTCCTTCCATGTTCAAGTGAAAACAAACCAAATTTGTCCAATCTCTCCTCTTAGCTAATACCCTCCAAACTAGGCAACATCCTGGTAAACCACTTCTGTACCCTCTTCAAAGCCTCCACATCCTTCTGGTCGCGTGGTAACCAGAACAGTACACAATATTCCAAATGTGGCCAAACTAAAGTTCTATACAGCTGCAGCATAACTTGCCAATTTTTATACTCTATGCCCTGACCAATGCAGGTAAGTAAACCATAGGCCCTGTGTTTTTTTTAAAGATGATACATTCTGCTCTGTTGCACCATGTCTTCCATATTTTTAGCTCACTCAGTGTCACCAAAATTAGCTTCTCACTCGACTTTTTGTCAAACTCACCCTTACAGATATGAAAGGACAAAATGAGGTGATGGTCCTCCTGAGATCTGGCACAGGCATAAGAGGTCAGTTGCCTTTCTTTCTGTGCTGCAACAATTCTGTGATTCTGTAACGTACCTACACAGGATAAATTATCAGCACCAAGTGAATATCCATTGTCACAGGAACAAAAGAAGCTTCCTATTGTGTTGGTGCACCTTTGCTGGCACATCCTCCGACTGCTGTTTGAGCATTCATCCCAATCTGTAAAAGACACAAAAGGTAACCTTTTCTGAAAGAATTATTGGTGCTTCTTCCATCTTTCCAAATTATTTCAAACCAAGAAAGTAAGAATTCCTTTTGCATGACAAGGGATTGCAAGGTTTAGTTACCCAGAGGAAATCTTCCTGATGAAATCACAACATCTAGGGGTTCTTCCTCACCTCTCAAGAGTTTGGGGGATGTTTGCCGAATTTCCAAACTTTTGGGATTCTGCTCCCTCCCCTCAAGGATTGGGACCTTATTCCGTGGCTGGATACTTTTTCCTTTCGAGACAGGGATTTCCTGTAGTCGTCATTCCACCTCCTACCCAGCATTGGTAGTATTTTCACAGAGAAGGCTGGGTTGGATTGGAATCTGGGCAGCTGAGGTAAGAACAAAGCCAGGGGGTTTGCAGTGACAGACCAGTTAGAAGGCACTCTTGTACTCATGGGGATAATGATTCAGCTCTGCATATGAGTGTTAAGTATCATAGCTCTCACCTCCCACACCTCCTTCACCCTCCCATACTATATTACCCCCTCTATATTCCTCATAAGCCCATATCGCGCCCAACCCCCCCAACCCAGTCCCTCCATACTCCCTGATACACCATGCCCACAATATCCTCTGTATGACTCCCCATATTTCTGCATCTCCACTCAACCAGTATCCACTCTGATCAGACCACATAGGCTTAGTATTAACACTTGAAGAAGGCAATAACCTAGTGGTATTATTGCTAGACTATTAATCCAGAAACTCAGCTAATGTTCTGGGGGAAAACAAAAAAAAAACACGCTGGAAATCATTGCGGGTCAGGCAGTATCCATGGAGAGAGAGCTAGCTAATGTTTGGAGTCGAGATGACTCTTCATCAGAGCTGATGTGAAGTGTGGACGGGACAGAATTAATGCAATAGTGGGGAGGTAGAGTGCTAGGGGAGAAAGTGTGTTGGTAGTGCAGATTAAGTGATTGGAATATGAGAGTAGCAGAACAACGGTGTGTCAAACTACCAGACTGGAAAGAACAGATGGTAGATGGTGGAATTTGAATTCAACAAAAATTACCTGGAATTAAGAACTACAGATGACCCTAAAACCATTGCCAATTGGTTCCTTTAGGGAAGGAAGGATATCTGCCATCCTCACCTGGACTGGCCAACATGTGACTCTGGACCCACAGCAATGTGGTTGATTCACAACTGCCCTGTGAAATGGCCTAGCGAGCCACTCAGTTATATCCATCGTTACAAAGTCTCAACAAAGAAATGAAACCAAACAGACCTCCTGGCATCAACCTGGGCACTAGAAAACACAACGACAGTAACAGCCCTGTCAGCTCTACAAAGTCCTCCTCACTAACATCTGGGGGTTAGTGCCAAAATTGGGAGAGCAGACTAGCAACAGCTTGGCATAGACATACTCATGGAATCATACCTTACAGAGAATGCCCCAGACACCACCATCACCATCCCTGGATATGTCCTGTCTCACCAGCAGGACAGTCCCAGCAGAGGTGACAGCACAGTGGTATACAGTCGGGAGGGGGAGTTGCTCTGGGAGTCCTCAACATCGAAATCTCATGGCTTCAGGTTAAATATGGGCAAGGAAATCTCCTGCTAAGTACCACGTACTGTCCTCCCTCAGCTGATGAATCGGTACTCCTCCATGTTGAACAATACTTAGAGGAAGTACTGAGGATGGCATGGACACAAATGTACTCTGGGTGGTGGATTTCAATGTCCACCACTAAGAGTGGCTCCGCAGCAGTACTACTGATCCAGCTGGTCGGGTCGGTGGTGGAGGGTCTGGATGGTTGTGGATGTGGTGCCAATCGAGCAGCTGCTTTGTCCTGAACAGTGCTGAATTGAGTGTTTTTGGAGCAGCACCCATCCAGGCAAGTAGGGATTTTTCTACCACACTCCTGACTTGTGCCCTGAATGTAGTAGGCAGGCTTTGGGGAGCCAGGAGGTGTGTTACTCTCTGTTGTATTCCTAGCCTCTTACCTGCTCTTGCCACTGTGTTTATGTGGTGAGTCCAGTTGAGTTTCTGGTTAATGGTAAACGTCCACTCCCTCCACCACTGACACTCAGTAGCAGCAGTGTGTATTATCTACAAGATGCACTGCAGAAATTCACCAAAGATCCTCAGACAGCACTTTCCAAACCCAAGGCCACTTCGATCTTGTAGGACAAGGGCAGCAGATATATGGGAACACCACCACCTGCAAGTTCCCCTCCACTCACCATCTCCTTAAAGGCTGAACTAATAGTTTGCCTGCCAATCGTCGGAAGGATCAAAAATGCAGCGATAAATTTACACAGCAGCCTCAATATGGTTCAATACAGATGAGCAATTCATCCACTGGATAAATTAAACCAATGCATCCAAAGATGTGTCCACTTTTACAATGCTGGTCAATTTAATGTCACTTACTTTTTCCTAACAAAAGGCGCTATCATCAATCCTTGCATACAACATACATAACTTATTAGATGCCAAAAGTATATGGCATGTGAAGGTAGCAACACATTTTGAATGTAGGACACGACTCCAGAACAGTCGTCCCCCATGAATCACGACAATTCTGAAATGGCACGACCCAAAACTCTTTCCGAAGGCCTCCTGACTCTCTGAAAATTCCAGTGGGCCTGAAATCACCACCTCCGCAATGGAGGCACCAGCGTCGGGAGTGTTGAGCATCCCAAATCTTTAAGATTACAACATGATGGAAACTGCTGCAGGAGTCCCAGAATCAGCTCTTTCTTCAGCAGACCCTCAGCCAGCTAAGGTGTGCCCTACGTTAGGCCTGTAAAATCAGGCCCTAGTTTTGTTCTGCCTGACCTCAGGATTCAGGAGACGGTGTCCTCTTACCTTCGCAGGTCTTCCTATCACTCAGCAGTCGGAAACCAGCGCGGCAGGAACAGAGGTAGCTGCCAAAGGTGTTGTGGCAAGAATGGTGGCAAACCCAGCTCTCCCCGATCCATCGGCACTCGTTTATATCTGGAGTGAAAGAGTCATCGGAGTGGGGGGGTTTTCAATGACAAAGAAACAGCATGAGTAGCATAATTCTCTCACTGAGAATGTACGTGTGTAAAAGCAAGCAGGCAACACACCAGTCAGATCATTCAAACACGATTGTTCATGATATCATTATGCATGTGACGCTTTATAAGATGCGTATATTTAAACAGCTCTCCTCTAATTCAAGACAATTTAGGCGGCACGGTGGCACAGTTGTTAGCACTGCTGCCTCACAGCGCCAGGGACACAGGTTCAATTCCACCCTCGGGTGACTGTCTGTGTGGAGTTTGCACATTCTGCCCATGTCTGCGTGGGTTTCCTCCAGGTGCTCTGATTTCTTCCCACAGTCCAAAGATGTGCAGGCTAGGTGAGTTGGCCATGCTAAATTACCCCTAGTGTTCAGGGATGTGTAGGTTAGGTGGGTTACGGGGGCGTGGGTCTGGGTGGGATGCTCTGAGGGTCGGTGTGGACTTGTTGGGCCGAAGGGCCTATTTCCACACTGTGTAGGGATTCTGTGATTCTATGAATATGACTGGTTCCTCTGACCAGTTCCTCTCCTTGACAGGCCCAAGTGATTTGGTTGCCATTAACATATGAGGCAGGTTCATTTGAAATTTATGTGCAAGCTCTGACAACCAGACCCACAGGCAAAAACTGCCATTCTGGCTGTTTGCAGACTCACAGAGGCAATCAGATCAAAGGAGCTGGGGAGAGAGTCCATGGCAGGGAAGCCATGTTAAGCATGATGGCCTGCTGTTGGGTTGACTACCCAGCAAAAGGCTGGTGGGAACAGTACATGGGAAATGGGATTGTGGATGAAGTGAAGGGGATTTGGTTTAAAAGGACAATGGAGAATTGACCACGGTGAGACAGGAAGAAGATACTTAATTAAAATTTTGGAATAAGTTGGACCTTAAGCTTATGACTATAGGTCAACAGAGACTGTGGTCTAAAATAATGCTAATGTTAAGGTGTTGCAGAGATTTTCATTGTGTCAAGTGCTTAACAGCAAAGACAACTGTTCAGTGGTTTATTGAATCAGTTAATTACGAGGGTTTGGATTTTCACTCCTGGGTCCAGTGCATTGAGACAGGCAAAATCCTAGCTCCACAAATTAAACCTTTAACGATGGCTGCCTGTATATCAGATTTTAAATCTGGGGATTGCATGCTGGATTTGAAGTTGGGACAGGTGATTCTAGAAGAACTGAGGCAGCTGCTGGGAGCAGAATAAAGCAGGTGGCCTGAAACCCACACTCCCCAACACATTCGCCATGTCTCATCCATAACAACTCATGCCCTCTCCATGGGCCTTTATACCCAATGTCAATGTACAACCTTCCACCAATCCACTATGGCCCCTTATGCCCTCATGCCATCGTATGCACTGCCAACAACCCATTATAGCCCTCACATTCTCCATGGCAACCACCTCCATTATCTTTGTAGTGCATAAGCAAACTGAGTGTGAACTCATGTCAAATCATGCACCTGAACGCATCACCCTTCAATGTTACACCTAAGCATTTATTATTTAGCATACTTCAGGGTCCAAGCATCAAAAAAATAAAATAAAGTTGTATAAACTAAAGTTTTAGTGTCTATCGCAGATTTCATTACATTGGAAAAAAAATTTAACTCGTAAAAAAATTTTTAAGAAGTCACAGTCCTTCAACTACATAGCGACTTATAGCAACAATGCAGTTCAGTCAGGTGCACAATCCCTTACAAAGGGGCACTGAAATTCACAGTCCCACATCGAACATTCCATATTGACATAAACACAGAAATTGCTGGAGAAACTCAGCAGGTCTGGTAGCAACTGTGGAGAGAAAACAGAGTTAACGTGTCAACTCCAGTGACTCTTTTTCTGTGACACAAGTTCTGTTTTGGTTTCAGATTTCCAGAATTTGCAGTCCTTTGTGTTATTTTATTCCATACTGATATAATGTTATCGATCAAACTGGGAAAAGGTAGGCATTCTACAGTGATAATGCATGGTTCTGAGGTCATACATGGGCCATTTTTTTTCAGTGATGGAAGCCCTCAGGCTTATATGTCCATAATCTACATGTAACAACAATGATTCTTTTAACATATCTGAAACAATTTTCAAGCATTTCAAGGTGTTTCGGAAATTTTGACAAATCTCCTTGCCAGTTGTCTTTGACACATTTTCTTCATTATTCTGATATGTCCCCCAGACACATTTGAAAGATCTTGGTAACTCATTGATTCGGGTTGCTGACAGTTTTGAAGGGTGATTTTCGTAAGTCTGTTGACAGCCTCATTGAGCTTTACAGCATGCATTCATGTAGTTTCTACATACAATTATGCCTACTTTTAACAATTCCTACAAATACCTGACTGCCAGCAAAGAGAACACTTACCCACTCCAAAGGACACTTTACCTCCCCCAAGATCAGGTGCAAGAGAGAACCTTACCGTTCTTAAGGGATGGCCTAGCTCTCTAAAGAAATGTACAATATTCAGATCTGCTCTAACCAGGTCTACATTGCAAATTTTAAATTTCATTTTCCAAGGCTACTAAAATCTCTCCTCAGCGGAAGTGGCTGATTATTTAACTGGTCAGCTGAGTCCATGAACAAATCATGACCCCATCCCTACAAAAATGGGAAATGCCATATTTTAAGGGCAGAATTTGAGATTTCTGGTTGCATTAGTCCTGACAGAGTGTGAAAAGGCAAGACAGATCATGTTTGTTTTTTTTATTTGAGTACATTTGTTACAGTAAAGTTCCTAAGTGTAATCTTGTTTGATCCTTTGAGTTGCTCATTGCAAATTCAAGATTTGTTTGAAAGTTTAGTAGTCTGCATGGGATTGTGACACTCAGTATGCTCAATTTTATCCCATCTCATGGGGTGGGATTGGGTAGAATGCCAGGTCCATCTGAATTTGACTCAATAGCGTGGAGTAAAATTGGCTTTAATTATACCACCACAATTCAACTGATTCTCTCAGTGCACCAATGGGCATGTTGGTTTAAAACTCAGGCCTACATTTATTTTGCTATATAGTCTGTTCTCCATTAATTATCTCTAATCCTCTTCTAAAGACATTTCTCCCTTGCTGGTCCTCAGGTCCTCATCTGGGTTTCTACCTCAGTGGAAGCATTGACCCCAACAGCTAGATTAATATCAAAGGCTATAAACAAACAGTCAGTACTATGCAGTTGCCTGGATTGGAATTTACAAATGCACGTTAACTGTTAGCAAAGATAATTCTGTACTTCTTTCAAAACATTGACAATGTTGCTAGCATTGCGTGCTCTATGTAAAAACTCTATCAAAGAAACTAAACATTCAGAGCAATTTTATGATCCAACGCACCTAGTTCAATCACCAGAACTTACCTTTGCAAAATAGTTTTTTAAAAAGACTTAGATTTTACTGTCACGTCGTCAAGTACAGGAGTACAGTGAAAAATATATAACGGTACCACACACAGCGCCATCTTAGGTATCTCGGTACAAAAAACTTAGAAACAAAGTTGAAAATGTTAAGCATTACCTTCATAGAATAAGTAGAAAAATAAAGAACTAAGGTAATAGTTAACATTAAAGTTCTTCTTAACATAAACCAGAAAAGTAAAAGAATTAAATTAGTTTAAAAATTGCTTCCTTGGGAAGGGATAAAGAAACTGAGGAGATCTGGGCATTTACTACATAATACAGTGGCACAGTGTTTAGCACCGCTGCCTCACAGCGCCAGGGATGTGGGTTCGGTCCCAGGGTCTGGGTGAGATGCTGTTTCAGGCAGCATGGTGGCTCAGTGGTTAGCACTGCTGCCTCACAGTGCCAGGGACCCGGGTTTGATTCCACCCTCGGGTGACTGTCTGTGTGGAGTTCTCCCTGTGTCCGCATGGGTTTCCTCCGGGTGCTCCGGTTTCCTCCCACAGTCCAAAAATGTGCAGGTTAGATGGGTTGGCCATGCTAAATTGCCCATAGTGTTCAGGGATGTATAGATGAGGTGGGTTATAGGGGGATGGCTCTGGGTGGGATGCTCTGAGGGTCGGTGTGGACTTGTTGGGCCGAGGGGCCTGTTTTCACACTGTAGGGATTCTATTCTATGAAATCCCTCCCCCAACCATAAATTTGAGTGAGAGGGTTGCCTAATGGCCCTATAGGATTTTGATAATCTCCAAACATGCGGCTATTAGGTCATCACATTCACCGAATAATACAACTTATGTACAAAAGCTGGTCAATCATCAAGAGATGAACTGGGGTCGAGAGGCGGGCCTGACTAACTATAAGCAATGATGTACTGCACAGTGACAGCAGTCCTACTGAAGAACATGTACATTGTAATTGTAACACATCATAATTCAGCAACTTACACCAGTGCTGCAACTCAAATATTTCAACATGTCTCCACTTACTTTAGTGGAGCATCCCCAGCTTAATTAAGGATGGGCAACAAATGCCGACCTTGCCAGGGATGCTAATTCCTAAGGAAGAACAAAAAGCTAAGGTACAATTTTGCAACTTTAAGGATTGTTTCTCCTGCAGATTTTGCTCCGTACTTATGGAATGGCCACAAATTAGGTCTGTCTGGAACTATGTCTTCAGTCAAAAATGCTCATGCAGAAACCTATCATCCTTCTGATTAAAGCTTTTATCTGATGAAGAACCCCAAATTACCCCACATCTGTGACCAATTCACTACCAGTAGCAAGCATAGTGGACAGACTGTCTTGTTGCATTTACCTAATCCAGCAAGCTGGCCTTATGTAACAGCCTCCAGATTTGGCTGTGTGTCTGGTCTGGTATAGGTATAGAAGGCTCAGAAGCTAAAGTAGTTTAGACATCATGTTAATGAGTCAACAGTAATACCGCTGCCTGCTCTGCCAGTCCTCCACTTATCCTCACCAGTTAAAACTGGGGCCATAGTGACTTGCTTTCTCCAGATACTAAAGAGAAAAGACAAGAATGAGTGTTTACACTGGTTGCGGAGCCTA